TATGATATTAAATTTCAAAATTGGAAAGAATTAATGATTATATAATAGTCAGATTCAGCCATTGACTGAAATAGTATTACAGGGATGGCTTGTAATTTTTTTTGTCTATTCATACTTTTAAAAGGAATGGACAGTGTATATTTGAAAAAAAGATACATTTTTATAAAAAATAAACACCAGGAAGTAATGTTTAACACATTCTAGTGAATAATTTACCTGCTCTGGGGAAAGAAAACAGAGAATACAATTTTATATCCTTGGACAGGTGCAGTGTTACCTGGAACGATTTCTGTTCAACATTAGTACAACTGCAGGTCTCCAAGTAGCAAGACAACCACTAAAAGCATTTTCTTTGTCAATTCTAAACTTAAATCTGCACCACACAAGCAACTGCAAGTTACACACACAAGCCCAAAAGGTCTGCTGACTGACAGCTCTTTCCCTACCAAGTGCCATGGAACACTGGCTTTCATGCAATAGAACCTATGCTTCCTTGTCTGTTCATATGCATTCTAATTTAGTTAAAAGAAAATAAACTTTCCTTACCAGGCATGGGAAACACTTTTGGTTTTAATAATCACAGCTTCTGCTTTAAGTTCTCATTGTAGTGTCCTTACAGTATAAAGGATCAATTGAAGTAAAGTCCCTTTTTGAAGATACCAGGCTAAACTACAGCTTTTAGTGGTGAGGTTGCTGCTGATAGTACGGTAAAAAAGAAGGGTAGAGAGGTGTTACCCTGTAGGCAACTCATTGCTACAAGCAGCAACAGTGTGTTTCAGGTAGAGGTTGTCTATCCATGTCAAAAGTCATGTTGCCAATCTGGCAAATACTGCATGTAGCCACCATATTGGATTCCAAGATGACTGCCATTAGTTCACATTTTGGTCAATTTTTCAGCCCCTACTGGGCTTAGAAAATTAATTCTCATGATGAAGTCAACATTGTATGAACTCAGGAGATCAATCGTAACATTTCCATCATGGTAGCCATACTGGATTCCAAGATGGCTGCTGCAAATGTACAGTTTTGTTCATTATTAGATACCCAAA